AATCCCTACTGTAGCCATGTCTGAAAATGTGTCTCTGTGTATTTTAATTTCACATCTGTTTCAAAAGATGAGTGGCATGTTTCATCTTTCACCATTCTTTTGGACTCATGGTTGATCCTTGTGTTGGTCAGAGCTGTAACATCTTTCAAAGTTGCTTTTCTCTATAATGTTACCGTGTGTGTGAATCATTTGCCTAGTTCTCATTTTGCTCTACATAAGTTCATAAAATTTTTGCCATTTCATTTAAAATTGTCCATTTCATCATTTCTCATTCCCCAGTAATATTCTGTTATATTCATCTACCACAATTGCTTTATCCTAAATCTGACTCTGACTCTAACCTTTAGTTTCCAATTTTTTGCTACCTTGAGAAGAGCTGCTATAAATGTTTTTGTACATGTAGATCCTTTTCATCTTTTTTTGAGGTATAAGCCTTGTAGTAGAATTCATCCACTCTCACTGGTAGTAATTAGCTCATATTAAGCCTCGTGGCAAAATAAAGAATAAGAAGTCTGTGGCCAGAATTTCTGACATAACACTTAACTCTCCTGTGCCAATCTCCAGACACTAAAATATGTAATAGGTGATGTAAATAGGTGAATGTTCAGGGCAGTTCAGTGCTTCGATCACATACTGGGAGAGTCTTTTTAAATGGCAGCAGGCAGTTGATTACAAATGTGTGTCTATGCATGTATATGTTTTCTGGCAAGCAATATTAATTTGGGTAGTTTTGCAAAGGAAAGTGCAAAAATCTGAAAAAATATATACTTTTATACATTACAGAAAGAATAAAAGCAACCATAAACCATTAAATGAATTGTGTGTGGCAGCCATAGTTGAGTAGTTGCTGCCACATAAGCATACATCTCTCTTCTGTTCCTGCTTGATAATTTATAGTCAGTGGATTGAATAAAATTATATTTGTAGTCTCTATCAAGGAATCTTTGATGATATTAATATATGCATGGGAGATTGATTGTTGAGGGACTTAATAAAGATACATTTTGCAATATAATATGTCAAATCCTTTTTTTAAACAATAAGCAACAGACATAGTGGGATTTTGTAGTCTTTGTATATTTTGGTCAGTTATCTGCTGTGGAAAATTAATTTGTAAAAAAGTCTGTATTCCTCATACATTCAAGGATATCTTCGATATAGGTATAGAATTGCCATAAAGTTTTTGTAGAGCTGAGAAAATAGGTATCTTCTCCTCTTTCATATCCCTGAATGTCCTCAAAATGTGTTCCCTTTCTGTACATGTTACACCATATATGCTTGGGTTATTCAACTGACTGTCATTTTTAAGACAGTGCTTTTAGTGTTTCCAATAGACACATTGAACAGAAGTGCTGAATAGTACAGGAAATAACAGGAGCATGTGTTCCTGTTATGGCCTGCTAAGCAGGACTGACATCTTGTTTAAATTAGTTTCCTTAAAACTTTGAGTACAGTAAAGATTCGTGTTGGAGTACGAATTAACGCAGTTGGGTTGCATTTGTGAAGGAGTTGGCATCTTCAGAAGGTTTGAGAAAGTAGCTACTTAAATTCCCTTAGAAATCCTATCAGTATAGTCCTTTCTTGTCCTTGAATTGTTATGCTAAAATGAACAGATTTTACAAACCATTGAACAGAGGGAGCATCAATGTAAGCATGCAGTTGTAAAATTGTACTTCAGTATATCCCATATCTAAATAACTGGATCAGAATTATTGCCTAACAGGTAGTGTTATAAAATGCAAAGATCCCTAAGGAAACTTCAAATTATATAAGTACCATTCTTCTATCATACGTAATTTATGTAATATAAGCAAAAGACTTATAAAAATAATACCTCCCTCAAGAATTTCTCAAATTCCCAATATTTCACCATATCTATATGCGTGAATGGGGGCAGATTTAATTTTATGGATCAGCAATGTTAAATGCTTTGAATTGTTGTTGATAATGAGGAATGAGAAAGGGGTAGTTTTGAAGCTGTAATCAAAGCCATTCGGTTCCAGTTTAAAAATAGAAAAGTAGATCAGTGGAGCAGACTAGATAAATAAGAACCAGAAGCAATTAAAAGTAGAAGTCTGGTGTTTGATAAACCCACGAAATATTAAAATTTTGGGTGGAAGGTTTGACAGATGCTGCTGAGAAAACTAGAAAGCAGTTTAACAGAAATTAAGTTTAGACCAGCATCTTAGACCATGTAGCATAATAAGCTCCACAAGCATGTGCAACCTAAATAATGGTTACATCATATTTTTTAATAGAAAACTCAAAGGAGGTACCTTTTACAACTATAGCTTGGGGTAGAATTTGTAAGCAATTGGGTTGAAAAAAATTTTGTATAAAATACAAAGACAGTTTCAGTTATTTAACAAGCTTTTTTTCTTATCAAAAGCAGTATAGATAGAATAAGAAGAGAAACTATCAACTGAAATGGGGGGGGTTGAATCTTTGCATTAAGTATAAGTAATAAATCTTGTATCTAAAATATTGACACAACTATAGACAATTAAGAGCCATTCCTTAATAAGAGGTCAGAGGATATGAACAAGATGCAAATTATTAATGACCTTATGAAAACGTCCTCCAAATTACTAATAATAAGAAATAGACATTAAAACAATTCTTAAGTTTAACCTCACAACCAGCAAATTGGCAAAGCTGGAAAGAACCAGAAATAGTGGTGGAAAGGCTATGGGAGTATATATATTAATATATTGCTGGAGCTAAAATTGGGCTGATTATTTTGGGGAAAAGTTTTTAAGTATTTAAGAGAAATCAAAGGGTTCGTATCCTTTCACCCAGTAATTCTCTCACTAGTGAGCGTGTACCCCAACGATATCAAAGACAGAAGGAAAGATCCAGTATGCTGCAGTATTCATAACACTTTTTGTGGTAGCAAAGTACTGGAAACAGTGTGGATACCCATTAATTTGAGAATGACTGAACAAAGTGATATAAGAGTAATAGACTATTTATACAGTATGAAATGATGAATAAGAAGAATTTTAGAGAAACAAGGTAAGTTCTTTGTGAACTGATAACAGGGAAATGTAAGCAAAACCCAAAGAACAATATACACAATGACTACAGTAATATAAATGGGGGAAAAAAACACTAAAAGGAAGCCAAACCAAATAATTATACAATCTGATAATGGTTCAGAGAGATTAGTTAATAAAACATCTCCCTCCTTTCCTCAGAGAGGCAAGGACTAATGACAGAATATTGCATATGTTGTCAGAATTTATGGATTACTTTCATTTAACTTTTTCTTTGTTATAAGGGAGAGTTTATTTCTGGAGTTAAGGGTAGTGAGGCAGTATATACCAGAAATTTACTATGATGTGGACGTAGAAGGCTTATAAATTACTTTATTTAAGATCATTAGAAAAGGAGGCAGCTATGATGGAGTGGTGAACATGCTAAGCTTGGAGTCAGGAGAACTAGATTCGTATCCTGACCGGGGTTTTATAAAAACGCTATGTAATCTTGGGAAGGTAAATTCAACCCTCTGAGTCCCTTTCCTTGTTTGTAAATGGTGCAGGGTTGTTACAAAAAAAGTTACTTTGAAATCCTTGGAAGAACTGTAGCAATATGTTTGGCAACAATCTGGCAAGGAAGTTAATCACAGATGATAGAGTCACAAAGGGGCATTAGAAATCATCCAGTCCAAATTTCAGGGATAAGAAAACTTGGGCTTAGGGGTGGGGACTTGCCCAAGGCTACACAGATATTCAGTAGAAGAGCTGGGATTACTACCTACAGTTTTAGAAAAGAGAATGAAGGAAAGAGTGTAAAAAGTCCAAGATATATTGAGCACTAAGGAAATACAGAGGTAGTATGAGAGAATCACTTTCTGTATTAGATGTGTTCCTTAAAAATTTCTGTGCCTGTTTGCCACTTACTAGCTGTGTGACCCTAGGGAAGTCACTTAACCTCGACTGCCTCACCAAAAAGGAAAAAAAAAATTTCTGTGCCTGTGATAAATACACCTTGGACAACATAAAAACTGCTATCTTGAATTATTTTAAGCAGTGTTTTGTATCCTCCACTGTGGTCTTATTCTTATGCCTTGTAATGGGTGTAAAAGGGACTACTCATTGTGAAAGATATGCTAGTGAATTATAGTTTCTAGAAGATACTGGCCCATAGATACATGTCTGTTGCTTGAGAACCCCTGTACCCAGTTTAGATGGGATTATCACCAAAGGGGTGATTACTAGGTTGTTGTTTTTTTCTGCAGTAAATGGCTAAAGAGAGTGTTAGGGTGTGGTGAAGTTGTGATGTGTTTGTAGATGAAGAAAATATCCACAATTACTAAATTGCAGGTCTTTTAAAATAATGTGCTGTGTAATAAAGCTTAATAATATAGATTTAAGGCTAGGAGAGGTAGGTGTGAGAGGTCATCTCATTCAGGTGAGGAAACAAACTGAGAGAAGTGAAATGACGTGCCCAGGTCACAGATTAATTCAGCGGCAGATTGTTCTCTCTGCCTGTGTCATATATCCTAATCTTCCTTGCTTGGAACAAAGGGTTTATTTCTAGGCTTTCTGTTTTATTGTTTCAAATGTAATAAAGAGGTCGGGACTATATAGCAAATTATTGATAGCCAGGGAGGGAAAACAGATAACAAATTTGGAAGATTTTTTTTCCTTGATCAGTTTTCTTTGATAAAATAAAGGTACTTGTATTTTAGTCACATTGATTAATTAGTATAATCTTCTTGGGAGAATTCTCCTCTGCTCTGTTTTTTTCCTCCCCTTATGCTTAACCTGTTTGCTTCCTAATCTTGCGCACATTTGCCCTTTTTTTTTTTTTTACACATTTAATTATAGTGTCATGCAAATTGTAAGCATTAAATAAATGTTGGATTTACCTGGGCATTTGTTACATCGTACACATACATATCATATATTGTACACGAACATTGAACATGTTGTACAGTTTATAATGTTACTATTGACATTTGACTTAATCATAAGTCTCTCTTTCCTTACCTTCAGTTGACCTCTGAAATGTTTGAAGCTGATCTTGAAAAGGCATTGTTGCTAAGCAAACTAGAATATGAAGAACACAAAAAGGTATTTACATTCATTCAGCTGCAGATTTTAGAAATGCATGTCTAATATTAAAGCATTGGCCATCAGATTCTTAAATTGAACTTTACAATTTTGAGTCAATTCTTTTATAGCAAACTATTGTAGATGTTCTCATTCCTCCTAAGATTTTTAGAGAGAATGAAAGAAGAATAAATTGAACATTGTCTGTTTCTTTTAATGTTGTTATTTTTAAATGAAGAAAAGAAATAACCTTTACTTTTTTTTAAACTTTTTGTCTGCAGTTTTAAGTGAAGATGCAAAGTACTGCACCATCAGTTGAATATAGGGACTTTAGAAAAGAGAGAAACCTTCCCTGCAGGTGACCCCTTTAATTTGCAATTAACAAAGGGCAAAGGAAACCATTTCTGACATTTGCCTTTGGAGCTCAGAATTTATAACTGTCACTGATCTTTAATATTAGACACTGTGTAGACATGTTTCTTAGAGCTAATTTTTTTAAAAGAAGCTTTTAATGTGTGCAGAAGTATTTTTAAGAAGATTATTACTTATCAGCTTTGCTTAAATTAGAAAAAAATGCATTTCTCATTAAATTGACCTAATATTTCTAGGTTTTTTTTTTAAGGATACCTTTATAAGTTTTTCTTTGAATACATCTGACCTCCTAATGGCTTGGCGAGGCTTCTTATCCATTGCTTTTGCTGCTTGCTCTCCTTCTTGCTTTTTTTTTAAATCCATTTAACTGTCTATTCATCCTTGTATCCAGAACTAGGAAAAGAGAGGAAATTAAGTTTGATATAGATGATTTTTCTCTTTGGCATTTTAGAGAAAAAAGGTTAAAGCTAGTGGTAAAAATGAAATTTGTTAAAAAAATATTTCTACTTTCGTTTTCCTATCCTTTGTCCTCCTACTAAATGTATTTACTATAATACTTTTTGTAACTTTGATATTCAAATTTTTGAAACATTTGCTAAAATAATATGAATAAGCTACTATAACGATTCAGGTTTCCCTGAAAAGCTTCCAACTCCAATTAAGAAGTAGAATGTGGTAGAGTGTTGATTTCTTACTTTTAGATGAATAACTAAACATTAAAGCTGAAGCCTTAACTATGTCATATGTGTGTGCAATTTATGTATATGTATTTAGTATACTAGTGAGTAAATAAATCTATAAAATATGGTCTTCTTAAGTCATTTTCATGATAGAACTGTAGGTCCAGTACTCAAATTCAGTATTTGTAGTATGTGTAATAAGCTTTGCAGTAAGGGTCTCGTTTATTGACAGTGAATTTTGATTGGTAAGATGACAGTAAGGGAGGCAGTTTCTAATTCAAAAGACTCAGCCATTAATTTTATAGAACTTACTATAAAAATGCATCTATATTTTATTGATTTGGATGTTCCTGTATACAGTATATACTGTTCTATGTACAGTTACTGTGTATCACAATCCATCCATGCTTATCCATTCTGTATGTCTTCTCCATATCCTTCCATAAGTTCACCACAAAAGGTGTGCCCCATATGATGGAGGCCTTCCTTAATTTTTTGGTTTTATTTTTAAATTACTACTTTTTTATTATAAAATTAATAAGTATCCACAAATGTGAGCATTTCCACATACACAGTTTGAGGTTTTTTAAAAGTATTTATTAAATTTAATGCTGTAACAAATCTATCCTTTTGGTATTTCTCTCTGAACTTCTTTTGCTCTCCTTGTGTGTATTTTTCATGTTTTACTGATGCTCTTCTCTATGTATATTTTTTTACATCTTTGTCACTACCCACTAATTCACCCACCTCCCCCCAAAATAGCTTTTACCTGTAACAAATAAGTGTATTCAAGCTAAGTGATGTTTGATAATGTATGTCTTGGGGTAGGTAGGTAGGTAGTGTAGTGGATAGAGCACCAGTCCTGGAGTCAAGAGAACTTGAGTTCAAATCTGACTTCAGACAGTTGTAACCCTGGGCAAGTCACTTAAACCAGATTGCCTCAAAAAAAAAAAAAATGATGTATGTCTCATTCTGTGCTCCTTGGCCATCGCCTTTCTTCCAGAAAATGAGTGATATGCTTCATCATCATTAGCCTTCTGAAGTCATGATTGGTCATTATATTGATCAAAGGCCAGTATTCTTTTGAAATAGTTTTTCTTTACATTATTATAGTCATTGTGTAAATTGTTCTCTTGCCTTCCTCACTTTTATCTTGATATTGAAGAAATTAATGAATGATTCATGCTGTCTACCTGTTTTTCTTTTAAGACACTGTATCAAGAAAAATACTCTTCTTTTATGCCAAATAATGCCTTGTGATTTTGGAGGATACGTTTTTTTCAGACAATGTATTTAAAAAAACAATAACATTGTTGGAGTAGGGAGAGTCACTCTTCAGTTAGTTAGGCCAAGATAAAATTTGTAAATGGTGTAAAATACTGTAAGTATTTTTCTTTCTCTTGGCAACATAGGACTTTGGTGATAACCTAATTACAAATTGATATTGAATTTGAAAAGTAAAATTAGTGCAGTTATTTTTGTGTTTAATCCATCTCAGGAATATGAAAATGTTGAAAATGCTTCACCTCAGTCAAAAGGTATGAATAAAAAAGAAAAAAGAAAGAATCATCAGGGGAAAGACAAACCACTCACAGTGTCACTGAAAGACTTTCAGTCGGAAGCAAATATAGGTATGCATTCTTTTATGTGAATTAAACATTCAGCGTTCAAAGTCTTGGTATTTTTAATTTCTTCTGTGATTATTTATTATATACTCTCCTGGATTACCCCCAAATATGATTTTTGTTTTCATATGAACTATTTACATTTAAAAAAATCAGTTTCCATATAAGCTAAAACTGATTTTGAAGTTTTTAAATAATTTTAATACTTATTTAAAAACACATAGTAGTATTTTAAGTCTTTGATCTGCTCTCTTAAAAGTCTTATTAAATGAAATTGAATAATGTGTTTATGAAATTTAATCTTGAGATATGTTTGTTTTTTTAATATTCAAATATGTTACACTAGCCCAAAACAACTGTCAGATATTTCATCATTACTTATCAACTTCTTCCTCAGGTTGTCTTGGGATAGAACATACTAAAATAGCTAGTTTTAGAATAGAGCTTACTAATAAAATCTCTTATGATATACCACCTTAATAGTGCTTAACTTTTGGCTAGTGAGTGCAGAGGGTAATTATATCACCCATTGTGGTTTTCAAGTTAAACCAGAAAAACCACATTATTTTTAATATAGGAAGTGGTAAACCCAGCATGAAAAAGATACTGGCAAATGTGTTATATTTATAAATAGAGAAATTTATTTATCTACTGTTAACCTAGTCTTAAAACAGAAGCATTTGTTCTGGCCTTGCTTATAATGTCACAGCAATAAACTCAGAGAAAAAATGTAGGATATTTCATAATATACCAGACTTCTAGTGAAAAAGCATTATTTGCAGAGAGCGCTGTGCTTGGGTGCTGAGGAAGGTACATCCCTCAAGGGGCATATAACCTGAGCATAAGAAACGAACACAGAGCAGTATGCCTCGCAGTATGCTATGGTAAGCTCATTTGAGAATTATAAAGCAAAGTTTTATGTGACTTTTAAGGTACATGGAAGAGGCCATTGCCACCTAGGTGCTTCAGCTAATTAACAAGCATTTATAAGGTGTTTACTGTGTGGCAGCACTGTAATAAGTGCTGATAGTGTAAATAAAGTAAAAAGTAGGGTCCCTACCCTGAGGAACCTCATATTCTAAGGGAGGACACAACATGTAAGCCATTATGTACATACAAGACATATACAGTGTAAATAGGAGATAATCCCAGAGGGAAGGTACCAACAGAAGGCAAGAGAAGAAGGAAGACCAGGAAAGGCCTCTTGGAAAAAGTGGGTTTGAGCTGAGTCTTGAAGGAAGTAAAAAATTCCAGGAAGCAGAGGTGAGGAGAAAGCATTCCAAACATGGGCGACAGCCAGTGAAAAGGTACACAGTTGGGAGGTAAAGTGTCATGGGAAGGGAAGGCTGGTTGTCCCTGGATCTTAGAATCTGTGGATTGAGGAGTAAAGAATTAAAAGATTGGAATTGTGGGACAGGGCCAGGTTATGGAGGGTTTGGAATGCAGATTTTATATTTGGTCTTCAAAGTAATAGGGTGCCAGTAGAGTCTATTGAGTAAGTGGTGGGGGTAAGGTAAAGGGTTAGTATTGTAATAATTGAGTTTAGGAGATCATTTTGGCAGCTGAGGATGCATTAGAATGGGAACTTGAGACTAGGAGACCAACTGTCAGGCTATTTCAGTAGTCCAAACTTAAGGTAGTGAGAACCTGCACCAGGGTGGTGGCTGTGTAAGTGGAGAGAAAATAATGTATGTGAAGAATATTGTAGAAACAACAAGACTTGGTGACAGGTTAGATATGTGGAGTGAGTATGAAACGATGACACCTAGTTTGCCAGCCTGAGTCCCTGTGAAAGGTAATGATGCCCATCACAGTAAATAAGGAAGTTTGAAAGAGGGCACATTTTGTGGAAAAAATTTGGTTCTGTTTTGGGCATGTTGAGTGATTATGCTTATGGAATAAACCATTTCAGGATGTCCGAGAGAGTTGGTAATGTGAGACTTGAGGTCAGGGATGGTTACATAGCTCTGAAAATCATCTGCTTAGATATAATAATTGAGCTCATGGGAACTGATGACATCACCAAGTTAAATAATACAGAAGGAGAATAGAACAGGGCACAGAACGGAGCATTCAGAGACACATAGGGAAGATCTATGGGATTATAGCTAGCAGATAGTAATCATTTATTAAGCAACTACTGTGTGCCAGATAGGGCAGCTAGGTGACCCAGTGGACAGAGTGCTAGGTCAGGAGTCAGGAAAACTTGAGTTCAGGTCCAGCCTCAGACATGTACTAGCTGTGTGACCCTGGACAAGTCACTTAACCCTGTTTGTCTCCGTTTCCTCTTCTGTAAAATGAGCTGGAGAAGGAAACGGCAAACCACTTCCAGTATCTTTATCAAGAAAACTCCAAATGGGGTCACGAAGAATCAGTCATGACCAAAAAACATGTGCCAGGCACTGTGCTAGTAAGAACTAAAAATTCAAAAAGAAGCACAACACAGTCCCTGCTCTCCAGGAGCTCACAATCTAATAGAGAAGATAAAAAGCAACAGAATATCTTCAAATAAGTTATATGTAGAATAAATAGGAAGGAAGAAAAGCACTAGAAGTAAGTAGGGTTGGGAAGGTCTTCCTGTAGAAGATAAGATTTTAGTGGGGACTTGAAGAAAGTCAAGGTAGCCAGTAGGAAGAGATGAGGAGTGAGAGCAAGAAAATGCCAGGAGCTGAGAGATGGAATATTTTGTTTATGGAACAGCAAGGGCTATAGTTTCACTGGGAAGGGATGTTGGGGCAGGGGGAACATAATGAATTTCATTTTGGACATGCCTAATTTTAAATGTCTTCTAGACATCCATTTTGAGATGTCTGAAAGGCACATGGAGATGTGAGATTGGAGATCAGAAGAGTGGTTAGAGCAAGGTAGGTAGGTTTGAAAATAATCAGCCCAGAGATGGTAATTAAATTCATAACGGCCAATGAGATCACCAAATGAAGCCGCATAGAAGGAGAAGAGAAAAGGGCCAAGCGCAGAACCCTGAGGGATGCCTCTGGTTAGGAGGCACGCCTTGGATGAGGATCCAGCAAAGGAGACAGAAGAGGAGTGGTCAGATAGGTAGGAGAACCAGGAGAAAGTGCTGTCTGAAAAACCTAGAGAGAAGAGAGTGATCAACATTGTCAGAGGCTAGAGAGGCAAAGAAAAATTGAGGACTGAGAAAAGGCCATTGGATTTGGCAACTAAGAGATCATTGGTAACTGGAAAGAATTGGTGGAATGATAATGTCAGAAGCCAGATTGTAAGAGGCTAAGAGAGTGAGAGAAGAGAAAGTGGAGGCACCTATGTAGACAGACGTTTCAGGGAGTTTAGCTACAAAGGACAAAAGAGATAGAGGATAGCAGTTAGGAATAGAAGGACCAAGTGAATTTTTTGAGAATGAAGGAGACAAAGGCATGTTTGTAGGCAATATGGAAGGAGCAAGGAAGATAGAAAGGATTGAAAATATCATGAGAGTGGGAATGACAAAGGATGCAGTCTATTGGAGGAGATGGGATGAGATAACTTGTACTGGTAGATGAGCTAGCCTTGGTAAGGAGTAGGGCCAGCTCATTTGGGGTTTTATTGGTAAAATTTTTTTCTGTGGAATATGGCAGAGGGAACCATGAGAGATTTGAAGAGGGATAAAAAAAATTTTGAAGAGTCACTATGGAGATTGGGATAGTGATTTAGTAAGGGAGGTGTAGTAGGATTGCTTAGCTGCAGTGAGGGCCTAGTTGAGGTTGTCTATCATAAATTTGTAGTGAAGTCAATTAGAACACTTATGTAATTTTCTATACCTTCTTTCAGCAGCACCTGTGGAAGTGAAGTCAGCAGATGTTGGGAGATATCCAAGACTGAGGCTTGGCAATGTGTGATCAGTGAACATTAAGGGATCTAGGGAGTCAAGAAAAGATAACAATGTAGAGCTGCACTGATTTACCAACGATCAAGAAGGGGGAAGGAGGAGAAAATGGCTAGTCCAGGCATGATGAGCTGGGAGAGAATTTAGGGGTGGAGAGGATTGAAGGTCATGGTGTAGGTAAAGGTCAGGGTTTGGTAAGGGAAGGCAGTGAGGAGAGGTGGAAAGCCAAGAGATTATGGTTGGATAAAAAGATTTCAGAATTATTGAATGTGAGGGGTGGTGCCTTTGTAGGTGATAACAAGATTAAGGGTATGACTATCTTTGTGTGACTGAGGTTGGGTGGAGGGATAGGTCAAGGGATGTGAGTAGATTGAGGAACTGAGTGGTTTGGGTGTTTGAGGGAAAGTCATCATGTATGTTGAATCAGCCCTGGTATGAGGGCAGGAATTAAGGAGGAGAGAAAAATTATGAGTCCAGTACTGAACTCATTGAGGAAGGAACGGGAGTGACCTGGAGGTCTGTAGAAAACAGCTAGTAGGAGTTTGGTTGGGTAGTAGATATGAATATCATGAACTTAAAAAAAAAAAAGAGATTCCTGGTAATGTAGGTAGTGGTAGAATCTAGAAGTAGCACTGGGAAGCAAGGAGTATTCCACCTTGCCTACCTCAACTCGTGAGCCCAGAGGAATGAGTAAAGGTGGAGCCAGGGAAAGCTGTGTCATCAGAGGGAAACTAGGTTTCAGTAATTGCTAGCAGGTGGAAAGAATGGGAGAGGAAGAGCAGTAGGATAAAGTGATGTTTGTTGCTTATTATATAGGCATTTCATGGGACACAATGGAAGGGTGGGTAGTATTTGGTTGTGATTTTGGGATGGGACTTCTGGGTCACATTGAGCACTAAGATTGCGGATTAGACTTTTTCTCCAATCTCTCCAACTTCTCCAAAACAGAAATGATGCTCCAAGGATAAATTAACTTCAGCTGTTTAGGACACCCAGAATCCAAAAAGTTAAATCCAAAAAACCAGGAATTGACACTCACTTTATCCTGAGCTCACTAAACATCCCTCCCCTACCTCCCCATGCTATTGGGATCGAAGCTTCACTAACAGACCCAAGGAAACCACACAGGCTTACAACAAAAACATCAAAATCTACCCTTACACCCCAGTTTCCCGTCTCTCTTTCTAGTGTCATGGAGACCCAGGCTTCAGGCTATAGAGGTCTGCTCAGGCCTTGACAGCCATCTTGGTCTCAGCCCTTCAGTAACTAAAGATTTCTCGGAAACCAGAAGTGCTACCAGTGTCTGGGAAATCAGGCTTTGATCTGCTGGTGCCTAACCAGAGAATTGAGAAACAGGGAATGGGACTGGTTAACAGAACAGGACATCACACACTTGAGCGACTGTAGCACTTCACCAAGTCTGAGAGAAAGAGCTCAACATCCAACTGGGGCCAGTTCTGACCACCTATAACTCATTTGGAGTACACACCTTGGAGTGTACTATGAATTGTGTGGGTGAACTGTGAATTGCCTAATGTGGGAGAATTCACTTTCTAGCCCGCAAGGAAACCACCACCAGAGGAAGTCAGAAACTGAGTGATGAGGAAAATAAAAGAGGGGTAAGGGGGGAAGACTGAAAGTACTCAAGATTTTAGGAAGATCTTGAATATATAAACAGATAAACCAACAGGAAAAACAGTAACAGCAGAAGAAATTATGGCTTTAGACCTAGTAAACGATTTTAAGCATCATGAATAAGTACTGCAAAATGAAGAAAAACGAGGAGATACTTGAAGAGACCAGAAGACCATGTGTAACATGAGAACATAGAACAACAGCAACAGCATGCTATTTCTGAGTAGTTTAAAAAAGAAATAAGAATTATGAGAGCAGAATACATGTCCTACATAGCAAAAATAATGAGCAGAATAGAAAAACTTGAATTGCATCTTTGCCAAAGGAACTTCAGGGTGGGAGGGTTGAGAGGACTCGGAATAAGTAATTGCTTGGTAGGGGATGGGGTTCAGACGATGACCTATAGAGATTCAGAGTCACTGGGCTTTATAGGGTATTACTAGGTGTAAGAAGGTTCTTCGTAGAGTCACAAGTCACTATTCAGGAGCCTGGGCCGAGAGACAGTGGAACATAAGATAGAAGGCACATAGATCATTAGCTGGGAGTGTCCTTTCACTACTGAAGGCTAGAGATGAGGCAGAGAAACTGTGCAGCAGAAGATGGAAGCCCACTCTTCACTGATATTCCTCTCTCTTCCCTCAAGTGCCAACTGTAGGAGGAGAAGGGAGGCCTGAGGTCAAAGGGAAGCTTGCTGCTTTTGTCACTGGAGTTTCTCTATATCTCGGTTGTGAGATCAGACTGGCAGCAAGAAATGGAAGTTACCTTGTGCTTGCACAGATGGAGTTACTCTTCTGGCCTTCAGCAGTTTTCACTTGGGACGTGTGCAGCAGGAAATGGAAAGCAAGAAGTCAGAAGAAGGTCTTGTTCCTTTTCACACCTGAGGCTGTAGATCAGGTGGGCACAGCAGGAAGTGGAAATAGGAACTAATAAAAGATTTTTTAAGGATGAGGAAAACCTTGGCATGTTAGTAAGCAGAGTGGAAGAACCTACAGTAGACAGAGAATTGGAATAACAGATGCAGATCCACTACAGAAGACGGGAAGAGATGGAGTCAAGGATACATAAAGATGGGATAGCCTTTGCAAGAAGGACTACCTCTTCATCAGATACTTAGAATAAAGGAGGAGATACTGTTTGTTTTCAGAACTTCTCTTCAGCACATTTAAAAATATTTCTATTACCCTCTTATTTTTGGACCCCCAGTAAAAAAAGGAAAACAGTTCCTGTAACAAACACAGTCAAGCAAAGCAAATCCACAGCTTTGCTGTGTCCAAAAATACATGTCTCCTCCTATAACTTGAATCCATCATATGTTGCTGGTTTTAAGAAGGACGTAGACAAGTGGGAATAATTCTAGAAGAGGATAACCAGGATGGAGGGGACAGAAGACTATACCATGTGAGGATAGATTGAAGGACCTAGAATGGTTTGCCCACAAAAGAGATCACTTTGGTGGAGGATATAAATTGGTAATCTCCAAGTTTTTGAAAGCTATCAAGTGAAAGAAAGATTAGACTTTTTTTGTTCTTTCAGGGCAATGAGTGGAAGTTGCAAAGAGAGACAAATTTAGGTTTTTTTATAAAAAAAAACCTCCTGAGAGCTAATTGTTAGCTGTCCAATAGTAGAAAGCAGAATTAGTTTCTTTGGGACGTTTGTTTGCAAGGGGAATGGGAGAGAAGCAGAGTTGAGACTAGATAAACCTTGTAGTAGTGGTAATTTAGAAATAATTCCCATAGTTATGGGATAGAGTAGATAACCAGTAAGATCCTTTTGAGATTGTAGATTGTATGATTTATTTCTGCACTTGCTTTATTTTTTTATTCTGGGATCTGTACTTTTTATTGGTATACAGAATTTCTACTAAGAAGGAAATTCCTATTAAGGCAACTTAAAGTGTCAGGCACTGTATAATGTCTCAGATTCTGAACAGGACTGCTGCACTGTAGCACCTAGTGAAGGTTTAGTGCTATTAGCTACGTACGGTTATTTTTTTAAATTCTGTAACGTCTTTGGTCTTTATTTTTATTTTATCTGTAAATTCATTAATTTTAAGATTTGAGCCCAAACTCAATATTTTGAACTTTTTGGAACTTCCCATGATATTAGTGAATAAAAAATATTTTTGAAAACTATTTAACAGTTTGGTAATGTAGCCATTAATAGTTGACTTTTGGGGGAAGTTGACAAAAACTGTGATTTGATTTTTCTGACTTTTTCATTCCCTAGTAGTATAGTGCAGTGTAGCTTTGTGTGTGTGTGTGTGTGTGTGTGTGTGTGTGTGTGTGTGTGTGTAGACCTGTGGTTTCATTGGGTGTAGGGAACTCCTGGTGAGGAAACCCATTTCAGCAACTATTCTACACCTTGTGGAATTAGAGAGTTATTTAGAGTACTGAATAGTTAATTGACATGCCCAGGTTCCTATAACCAGCACATGTCAGAGGTAAGATTTTTGAAGTCTTTGATGGCTAATAGACCAGCTTTCTGCTATGCTATGTTTCTTCTCTCGTAGCATTAGCTATCTTTATGCAGCTGGTGGAGAAGTGAATATAGTGTCAGGCCTAGAGTTAGGAATACCTGTGTTCAAGTGTAGCTTCATACACTTAATAGCTATGTTGACCCTAGGCAAGTTACTTAACCTTTTTTTTTTTTTATTTCAGTTTCTTCATCTGTAAAGTGGTGTTGTTAATAGTACCTACCTCCCAGAATAGCTGTGAGGATCAACTGAGATAATAGTTGTAAAGCTCTTGGCACAGTGCCTTATATATAGTACACACTATATAAATGTTAGCTGTTATTTGGTTTATTTTTTAATTTAAAAATAAAAATTTAAATTGATTTGAAGAGAGGGAAGTTTGTTTAGAAAATTAATAATGTGTCTTGAGAAAATAAAAAAACTGAAATGTCTCTTAAAAACCTCATTTGAGATCAAATACTGCATTAATTCAATTCAGCGAACATTTATTAAGCAACTACAATGTGTTAGGTGCTGAGGATACAAAGATGAAAAACACGATCTACAGTGTCTTCCAATAAGCAAGACTTAGAATAGATTAAGATAAAAGGAAAGAGAAGGAACCTAGATAATGTTTAAAAAAAAAAAAAAGCTTGATCCGGGAAGTGTTAGCAGAGAAACTGGCACCTGATGTAGGATTTGAAGGAAGGGAATTTAAATAGGCAGATTTGAAGGGAGTTCTAGGAATGAGGAGTATCCTGTGTATATGTATGAATATGGGAAAAGATACTTAGTGAACTCAGTTTGACTACAACATAAAGTCGATGGAAGAGAAGTTTGTAAACTGGATATAAGGTAAGGAAGGAGAAGGAAGTGTCAGCTTTCATTAAAGCCTTGAGCCTGAGTGACTATAAGAATGATAGTGCTATCAACAAAATGAGGCAGGGACAAAAGGAGAGAAGAACAAGTGTGGGAGAAAGAGGAGTGCAGTTTTGGACATAGTTCAAAGGGGCACATGGGATAGAGCGCCACCTCTGGAGTCAGGAGGATCTGAGTTCAAATGTGGCCTCAGACACTTAATAGCTGTGTGGCCCTGGGCAAGTCACTTAACCCTGTTTGCTTCAATTTCCTTATCTGTAAAATGAGCTGGAGAAGGAAATGGCAAACCCTCTCCAGTTATTTCTGTCAAGAAAACCCCAAGTAGGGGTCACAAAGAGTTGGACACAACTGCAACAACCAAACAACAACAGAAGAATTCAAAGGGAGCAAATTGAACAGAGTTATAATGCAAAATTTTGGTGTGTCTCTACATGTTTTTGGTGATGTCTCTAGATAGGTAGGAAATTCACTTTGGCTTACTAAACTTATATGATGTTAATTTCTCTCTAATTTGGAAACCATTTAATATTTAAAATGTAAATGTCCATTTTGTTTAGGGAGTTGTTATATTTTTTCTTTTTCTTTTACAGATCACCTTAGTAAAAAAACTGAGGTAAGTCTTAACTGGCTTTTGTCACAGGAAGTATTTGTCTTTTTTATTTCTTTAAACTTTTAATATTTAATAATTTTGTGATATTACCAAATGAATCATTCATTAAATTATAGTGCTGTCTTGAATAGAACTAACAACAACTTTGAAGAGTTAAAAAGAATATGTTGCATCTTACTAAAGTAAATATGAAAATTCATATTAATATAAAGTACCATCTGACAGCAGTCTTTTCTGTTTAGTCAGAACATACTACACACTTAAACACAACTCACTGGAAAAGGAAAAACTCAATAGGAAAGGAAAATGATAAATTTTATGTAGCCATTTCAAACATCTTTACAGTCTCCATGGAAATGAAATTGTTTGGAAGTGAAATGTATGTTTGAAAAGAAATTTTGGAAATTATAAAGCCAATATGATTTATATCTTTTTACCATTGAAGGGTAGTACACAGCTTCACCATCTCAAAGTAACATAATTTTCCATTCCAGAGAGCTATTTTATTGAGGTATGGCTTAGTGCTTTGATGTTTTCCTATAGCTTCTACAGACTTGGTGGGATTGGAGAGTACTACTGTTAGAAACCGTGCTCGTGCTTTTACTTGAGGATTGTTTTCTTTAAATAATTTTGAATACTGAAAAAATATTAGTTATCTTCTGAATACTTTCAGAGAGATTGTGCTATTACATTTCTACATATCTCTGTATAATATTACCAGTAGTCCTTATCATTAGCATAGTCCCCACTGTCAGCACAAATAAGGAGTGAATTTATTATTAATGTACTTTGATTTCTGTCTGGAATAAATATTTTTTTATTTCTAACCTTTTTTTTAACTTTGTTTAGATTATTAGGCCAAGGAAGAAAACTATAAATGATGATTATAAAAACATTTTATAATTATATGTAATTATTATAAAAACACTTATGGTTATAAAAGAACACCCAAAATTTAAAGCATAATAATTTATCTAATAATTTAGCTAATCATAATTTTTAGAGCTTAGATAAAACCATTGTTTTATGGTTCTTTAGTTCTATAGTTCTTTATGAGCTATTACATGTCTTAGTTACCTAGATGTGATTTAAAATAATCACTTCCAGTGATTATTACTCTTTGGAGATGGAAAATTTTGTGTATATATGGAATTGGGTTATTATTTCACTTATTTTTAGACTGTTTTACAATTTGTATAACAATATCTCCCAGAATAAATCTTCATTGATAATAGCCTGGAAAATAAGCAGCTACCCACCATATTAGGCACAGGTGCTTATCTTGAAGGTGAATATACCTATCCCTTGGCTATCCTTCTGTTGTTTGCTATGTTTCTCAGATGTGTTCTAACAGAAAGAAAGTGGGCTGTTAATAATAAAAATAACTTCTGTGAGATTCCTAATATGATTGAGGGGTCAGCTAAGTGGTACAGTGTAATATGGAGGGGTCAACTAAATAGTACAGTGGATAGAACATTGGCCCTGGAGTCAGGAAGACTCATCTTCCTGAGTTCAAATCTGGCCTCAGACACTGAGTGTCTGAGTGACCCTGGCCAAGTCACTTGACCCTGTTTGCCTCAGTTTCTTCCTCTGTAAAAACAGCTGGAAAAAGAAATGGCAAACTAGACCAGTAACTTTGCCTAGAAAACACCAGATGGGGTCATGGAGAGTCAGAATTGAAATCTGAATAAGAAGAAATATGATTGAAGGAATTTTGTACCTTTGAAAATTTACCCTTAATTCTCTTTTGTGAGACTATAAGAAATTAGTGAAAGGAAAAATTACATTTTTGCATATTTAATCATTTAAAATACACCATCAAGGTAAATTGATGTATTTGGAGTTCTTAATTCTCTAGGACCTGAATGTTTAGATATCCATGTAGGTTATGCCATTTCTTCAGAAAGTTATCAAAGCTACTTTACATTTGCAGATGGCTCTAACAAAGGAATGTTACTGTTTTGTATGCTAAAACTGAACATATTACTATACTTTATTACCCCAGTCTATATTATTGCAGCAACTTCTTAGCTGAAGTTTCCATGACTCCAGGTGTTCCTCTGTCTAGTTCATTCTATAAGTTTCTGCCAGTTATTCTGTAAGCAGTTTCTTTTTTTGTTTTGTTTTTTTACCATGTCACTTTCCTGCTTGGAAACCTTCAAAAGTTTCTTTTTGACCAGTACACCAGATCTAAACTCCTCTACATTACTTATAAGGCAGCTCATAATCTGTCCCTGCCATAATTGCTCAGTGTATTTGCAAGTATTACTTTTTGTTTATACCCTTCTCACCAAGTTGGTTAGTCTGATCACCACTCCACTTCCTCAGTTCTGGTCTGCCTTTTACTTATGTTGTTTCCCTTCCCTGATGTGTCCTTTTCTTACCTCTCTACCTATCTAACTCCTGTTCCTCTCCTCAAAGTCTAAAGGCTTCTGTGAACATTTACCAGAACTCATTAATGCCCCTCTCCTTTGAATTTCTGGATTGATCTGATAGGATTTTCCTTCATGAAGAAAGGTGGACATTAAGATAGACAGGATAGTCTGGAGGGTTTTCTCTTAAATGAAATATAAGGTTATTTAATCCCTTTTTTCAGCTGATATTATTAGGGTTTATTGTTAACATTATTACAAATTGGGGTCTGCATATGAGGACATGGTGTGTGTAGAAGAAACTTAGAAAAGGACTTAAAGAGGTATATACAAGGTATGGATGGGGTAACTTCAAGAACAAGAACGGAAAAGAAGAGTCCATGAACAGGGAGGAGGAGGTAAAAAAGATTAGGCATAATGGTATTTACTTTAATAAAGACAGCGTTAGCTTTTTAAAAGTTACTGTAATTGTAGTTTCATAAATACCTATCAGTTTCCCTTTAGGTAACAGTTGAAACCTTTAGAAAATTTAGAGGATTATTATTGAATTCATAAGACATTTACTAAATACTATGTATCTCTATATACATACACATTTATATAAGTGTATATGTACTCATATGTGTGTGTGTGTATATATATATATATACACATAAATACATATGCAAACACATACATATGGGTATCCATGTGTGTATGCACGTGTATACATACATATACATGTGTGTGCACACTTGTGTGCTGGGGTTGGAGGATGTATAAAGTTTAGATAGAACATTGTTCCTGTCCTCTTTGAGCTTACAGTCTTCTAAGTATATGTAAATTACAGATAACTGGTGCTTAACATAAGTGCTTAAGAAGCAAAAAAAGTACCGCATAAAAACTTACAAGACATAATTGTTAGGAGAATAAGGGAAAGTTGCATGGAAGATATGACATGTTTCAGATAGATTTTTCTCTATGAAAAATTTAGGTGGAAGAAAAGGTGGTAGCAACATCAAGGGATCCTATAGAGGAGAGAGAAAGGAGGACACAGCCAATCCTGGGGAAAAAGGAAAAGGCATGAACACAAACTAGAAACCCTGGTGCATGGGTCTACAGCTGCTACATACACTGAGCATTTTATTACATGTGGTTTTTTATTTACTATAGTTTTGTGAGTTCTCTCTCTCCAAGTAGAATGTAAGCTCAAAAGCAACAACAAAATGCTGCCAGTCTTTGGTTTAGGTAGCTGTGAAGCAAGCAATTAATTGCTTCAGGTTGTGAACTGCCACAATAGGTAAAGTGGGCAGGAGAGCTTTTGAGTTTTTATCAGCAGTCTGTCTCCACAAATGTAGTATGATCCTTGATCTGATATCATTAGAAGAATATTTGAAGAGTGCGTAATTTGAATTGCTTCTTCAAAATAATTTTTATCGTTCTATTCATTATAAAATGAACATATACATAGGGAAAATTAGATCTTGGTGAATTGACCTGTGTTGTCTTTCATTTTATTTGTCCTCTACTGAGAATATTGTATCAGTGTAAAATTCATTGGTGTTTCTAAGTTTAGTTCTTGTAATGGAATTGGAGATGTTGGATGAAGTATAGCAGTATTTGTAGAAGTGGAATTATGTCTTTAGCCCTTTAAAATGATATTATTTTAGTATATTTTTGAAAACATCATTGAAATGTTAAATTATCTTGATAAATTCTATTAAACATTGACTTTTACTACAGAATTAGTAGGTAGAGTTTTTTAATGTGGCAACTCATAAAATTACTAAAATCAGACAACAGGCATTTGTTTAGCACCTACAATGTATTTATATGATGATTAAAAGGTTGTTTGGGAGGAAGAGCACTAGCAGTTAGGAGGATCAGAGAAGACTTTTCACGTAGGTGTCACTTGAAGGATTCCAAGAGACAAGAGGTGAGGCAAGGGAGTGCATTTTAGACATGGGAGCAGCCAAGTCAAAATGCAGAGAGATGGGAGAGCAGGTGTCATGTGTGAGAAACAGCAAGAGGGCTATTATAGCTTGTCCTGAGAGTATATGGAAGGTGGTAATGTCAATAAAGGCTGGAGCAGTAGGGAGGGGCCAGAAGGTAAAGGACTTTAAATGTCAGACTAAGGAATGAAGGGGTAGTAGTCTCTGCTAATAGTAATAATCTCTCCAATGAAATAATAGACCTTTTGAAGTTTAAAATATCATACGGCTAAACAATTACCTTCAGACACTTTACATTCCAAAAAAAAAAAACGAGGGAAGAACCTCAGTGCTTAGTGCTTATTGATCTTCCTGTTTACTCAGTAATGAATACATAAGCCTATCAAAGACTAAGGAAAATTTTTGGTGGTTACTTAACCTTATTTGAGAACATGGGAATTAAGTGTAATTTAGGGAATAAAAGTGACTTGGCACATAAGCCTTTTCTCACCTTTCTGTCTCCACAATAGGAAGTTAGGGAAGAAATGAAATTTACCCGTATATAGACTGAAATTTCCAGCAGTGCGTAGTTGGGGAAATATTTGGAAATTTTTCCTTAACTAAACCTGTTTTGTCTATGCATTGAAGACATCAAATTGTTTTAAAATCATATCTAAAAGATTGAAGTATTTAGCTTCAAAAAATAGAAGAAGCACCAGGGGATAGCTGTAAGACCTTTGTGTTTCTCTCTGCTTTTTTCTGAATGTCATTCTGGGCCTCCCTACTTTCTCTCCTCTTGAGAGATGTGCAAGAAAAGGAAGGGAAGAAGTGGGGGACTACTTCTGTACTTTAGCATTATGCGTTTCATTTTCTGCCCTACTTTTGGTGGGTGGGTAGTTCTATTATGTTGATCTTTATGTGTGCAGTGATAGTAAATCATAATTCATTTTGGCAGGAATTGAGTTCTTCTCAGACTTTATCACATGATGGAGGATTCTTCAATAGACTGGAAGATGATGTTCATAAAATTCTTATTAGAGAAAAGAGAAGAGAACAGCACACAGAATATAACGGAACAGATAATTGTACAGCCCATGAACACAGCCAGGCATGTAAAGTAGGAAATTCTCTTAAAAGCACAATGAACATTTTAATACTGAAATTAAAATGTATATTTTCCAGATATAACCAATTCAGTTATAACTTTACATAGTAAAAAATTTAGCTGCTTCAGTCCCCTTAAGTTTACCTATATAATTTATTTTGAAATATAGTTTACTTTAAGAAAAACGTATGTACCCTGAGTTCCAGAACACAGTGTACCTAGAGTCCAGCTTTGTAACCTCCTAGCTTTGTGACCTTTGACAAATCATTTGACTTTCTGGTCCTCATTTTCCTCTTTTCCAAAATGGGAATAACTGTGTTTTTACTGCCCTATATCATGGTGTTTTTATGAGGATCAAATTATACCTAAAACTCTTTTAACTATGAGTGTTAGCCATTTTTGTTTCCATGAAAATCTTTGCAGAAATGACTAGGGCTTGGGCTGAAAGAATTAATGGATGAAGAGAAAGGATATTGAGAAAGTGGGCTTCTCAGCTACTGGTCTTTAAAGCTGTTGCCACCTCCAGAGTGGAATTTACTGTGAAGGTGGCACTGGCTGAGAGGTTGTGAGGGTAGGGCTAGAATTGTGGCTGAGAATTGGGCTAATGACAATTCACAGTTATGAGTTGTAGGGGTCTTTTTGTTTGTATTGCTACATTGCTCCATTACATTCATTTTCTTTCTACTGACAACTGAAAAAATTTAAAACCATTTCTAAGTAAGCTTTCCTATAAGTTCAGTAGAAGATATTGCTGGCAATGGTCAATAACAGTCAATATAAAAGTTTATTTATACTTGTGGTAGAATAGCATATCATATCTTTTATATTGACTTTTATTGACTAAGTACTAGCAATATCTATACGAAAAGAGAAAAAGTTAAAGGGCCCTCAGTTCCTATGTGAGCACTCATGTAACTGATTATTGGATATAGGACAGGCTTTATTTAATCTTATAGAAAATGTAAAACTACAGGGGATCCATAAGCAATCAAGACAGTTCTTTTCCAGTAGGTCTTTATTTACCCAGGAACCCTGGCTCTCAAGGGAATGGTCCAGGTTTGCTCTTACATAGAATGGATCTTTACCTTGGTTTTCCTCAGTTGCTATCTAGTGCAACCCATACCTGAAAAAAATTCTTTGCTGTTTCATCATCAATAAGTTATCCAGGCTTTGCCTGAAGACATCCAATGAGGGAAACCCATTAGCCTTCACGGGTAATACGTTTTACTTTGAGACAGCTCTAATTGTTAGGAAATTTTTCGATGACATCAAGTTAAGATTCGCCTCTTTGCAACTCCTACTCTTCATCATTACAGTCCAAGAAATGTTTGAACACAGCTCTCATATCCCTCTTTAGTCTTCTCTAGGTAGAACATTCACAATTCTTGTAACTGATCCTCATGACATGGACCCGTGTCCCTTTATCCTGCTTATCCTCTTCTGCTCTAGCTCATTAATGTCCTTCTTAAATCATTATCACTCAGAACTGATGTGGTATGACTAAAGCAGAGTATAATAGGACTATTACATCCTTATTCCTGGAAGCTGTGCTTTTCTTCTGCCAGCCCAAGATCAGATTCACAATTTTAGCTCCCACATCATATTGCTGATTTCATAGTGAGTTTGCAGTCTACCAGGACCCCAAGATATTCTTCAAATAGATTTCCCCCATCTTGTAATTATGAAGTTGATTTTGTAAGACCGAATATAAGACTTCATATTTATCCTGGTTGAATTTCAATATATTAGATTTATCTTAGTGCTATATATTTGTGGAAGCTGATTCCTTTATCCTACTGTGTTAGTTATTCTTCCCAAGTTTATTCATCTGTGAAAATTTGATAAACATTCCTTCTATTCCTTTATCCAGCTCAGTGATAAAAATATCAAACAGCACAGAACCAAATGCGTATCTCTCCCTGGATGCTCCCTCCACTGGAGACCTTCGTCTAGTTGACGTTGAACCCTTAATAATATTTGTGTCTAGCCATTCAACCAATTCCAGATCTATCTAATTGTATTATAATTAAATGAAATTTTTTCCATCTTTTCCACAAAACTAGCTGTAATACTTAAGTAAATACGTTGCCAAAATCTAGGTAAACTAAATTATAGCATTCCCCTTCTGCTAAGTGTGTCACCTGTCAAAAACAGAAATAAGTCTGGTGTGACTTGTAGATGAAACCATTCTGGCTCTTTTGTACCATTTCTCTACACCATTTCTTTTTCTAGATAGTCCATATCTCTTTATTAATAATGAGTTCTAGGATTTTCTAAGAAATTGAAATCAGACCATGTGGCCTACAGTTTGAAGACTTTATTCTCTCTTTTTTAATTGTATCACCATTTGCCTTCTCCAGGTGTAAGACACTCTTCCCATTCTTCATAATCTTTGCTTGATCTAGGAGCTTTTCGCTTGGCTCAAAAGTCTTAAGCCCAGGAACTCCTGGATGGCTCGACTGTTACTTTCACCTGCTGTTTGTTATCTCTGGGACCATGTGGTTTCTTTTATGCATTTGAGTGGTTATATGATAGCATAGAATTCCCTACAAAGAACTAGAGTCTATGTCCAATTAATTGTCCCCTACATGTCCCTCCAGTCTCTTTTTGAAGGCCAAATCCAAGAGTATAGCCCAAGTGTTAACTATTAGAAATGAAGAAATGCTTGTGAACCTTACGATCATAATAAGATTAAGTGGTACCTTAGTATGAGGCAAGTTTGTATCTTCTTTGTGATGATGCCAGAACAAAAACCTCATTCATCCCTGATAACCATGTTAACGTAAGGTTACCCTTACATATGGCTAACATGTAAATATGTTGTAAGAACTTTCTTAAAGGTCCTTAAATACACATTTATGAAACAATACCTTTAATTACTCTTGGAAATTGTGGAAGTTAGAAATGTGAAATGTAGATGAACTCCATTTTAAACAAATCTAGTATGTGAACATCCCAATTTGCAAAACAGATTAAGCATTAATATTTTGGGGTTTATAGAGTTTTTTCTTCATAAAAAGGTTTATTTTAGAATTCTTTGAATAAGAAGTTCCCCTGGTATATTTGACATACAATATAATTTGCAAAATATTTTTTTTTAACAATTTCAGAATTGTTTCAGAACACATTTGGTTAAGGTGAGGTACAGTTGGAAATTCAAGAATGCTTTAAGTGTGTTAGAGCCATATTGGGTTAATGGAGTAGAAGTCACATACTGAGATCCTAGTCTAGGGCTTCATGTAGTTAGTTATTGAGGTGACCTGAGTGTTTGAATGCTGTGCCGGAAGAGCACAAGTTCTGGCAGTACTACAGAGTTGGAGAGGTTGCTCATGTGTGACTGTATATTGTCTGAAAATCAGCCTAAATTGACTTTCTTTGGTCAACTTTTTAAAAAACGCTTTTTTTTGGCCATAGCCACTAATACTGTTTACTAAAGTGTAGAAGAATTGTGTTCTGCATTGGTGGAGGAAGGGCTCATATTGACATAATCATGGATCCTTAAAGTATTGAAGTAGTGAAGATGGGGGTCAGAAGTTTGTGGCATCTGTCCTTATCTTTTGAGGTCAAAACCATGTATAGAATGGTACTGTACTTTCCAATAAAATTGTGTTGTGGTTTGTCCTTCATTCTCAAAGAGGAGCATGACATCAAGGAAATGATGATGTGACTTGCAGTTGACTTTGATTTGAGTGAGGGAGGGCTGTGCAAAAGTCACCAGCCTCACTTTCTGTTCCAGAGCCACCTGGGTCCGATGGCCAGATGTTTATCAGGACGACTGGAAATGGCCCAGGATGCAGTGGGCCCTCCTGGCTCATAGTGAATGTAAATAGTAACTGTTTCTCTTTTGGCCAGCAACCTTGAGGGTCTTCTCTCAATCTGATTTTTTTTTTTTAATTGAAGGGCCATCTCTTGATTCAGTTCTTAAAGAGGCCTGTTCACTAAATAGGTATTGCCTTACTCAAAGTGAGAAGCTGAAAAGACCTTAGCTTAAAAGGGCCAAGGTCTCTCACTGCATCCTGGGCCATCTCCAGTCATTCTGATAGACATCTGGCCACTGGACACAGATGGCTCTGGAGGAGAAAGTGAGGCTGGTGACCTTGCACAGCCCTCCCTCACTCAAATCAAAGTCAATTGCAAGTCATGTCATCGTCTCCCTGATGTCATGGTCCTCTTTGAGAATGAAGAACAAACCACAATCTGTGAGTAGTCCAAGCTGCCTGAATGGGGATCCAGCTGGTCAGTTCCAGTTGGGCAACTCGTTTCATCTTCCCCTCCCCTCCCTTCCTCTCCAGGTGTTCTGCCCAAAGGAAGGTAAAATTTTGATGGCCAAAAGCTAACTATTAACTTGGAGTTTACTGGCTAGATTTCTTTCTCAAAGACCAAACCTAAAGCCCAATTCACTCTGGATCTCTTGGATTGGACAACAGTAGGTCCCTGCCCAATCACCAGTTTCCAGTAAAATATCTCAAAACCAAAAGAGGCAAAAAAAATGCCAGATGCTTTTAAAATAATCATAACAAAATGATTTAAACACAACAAGAGTACAGTGTTAAGACTAGATTTGTAAAAATTTTAGAATAATAATATCTGCATCAAACAAATCATAATTATAGGAATTAGAGCTGAAAGGAACTTTAGAAGTAATCAAGGGTGAATCCCTTCATTTTATAGATAAGGAAAATGAGGCCTAGGGAATTTAAGGGATTCATCCAAAATCATACTTAGGTAGATCATAACAATTTGTTTTATAAAGATAAAAAATATTTTATGATGATAAGCTCTGCCATTTCAGAATTTAAGGGTAGCATTGTGGTGTAAAAGAGAACAGTTGGTTTGGAATTGGGAGAATTAGACCCTATTTTTAGTTGTGCCTCCAACTACCTGAGTGACCTTGTGCAAATAATTTTATATCCTTATGCCTCAGTTTTCTCATAGGTGAAATAAGGTTTTGGGTCTAAAAGTGATTATAAACTGTGTCTTCTAACTCTCTGAATTTGAGTAGCAATAATTAGAATTCTGATTAAGAATGTTTAGATACGTGTTCATAGTAGAGACAACATTACTTCCTTGCATTTCTCTGTGGAGTTTTTAACTTTTGCAGATATTAGCAAATCTGTTTAATGTATATTAGGCTTCTCCAAATACTTCATTTTGTGGCCAGGTGTAAGGAAAAGCACTGGTATCTAAATTCAGGATTGAGTATTTTTATGTATTAATGGTATCATACTCTAAAACATCTCACTGTGTTTTTACTCCATAGATAAAAGAATGCCTTTTGTAGGAAACATGAGACAATTGAACCCTTTAGGATTTTTAGAAGTTTGGTGAATGAAGAGCATTTACTCAGCACATCACTTTGGGATGTCTGCAGACAAGTAGTAATACTTTGCAGAGTTGTTTACTTACTTTTTCAGAGTATGGCAGACAGTACATGAGTGAAAGGTTTTCTGACTTTAGTTTGGACAGGATGGAGAGTAGACAGCATATTTCTTGTTGCACATTCAAAAAATATCATTAAATTGGAAGTGAAGCTGAAGATAGAAGAAATGGGAAGAGAAAAGTTTAAAGAACCCAGGTAAGCATGATTTTAAATAGAGTTTTCTGTAGACTTGTTTAAGGAAAACAAGTCTATAGAAAGTGTGGGTTTGAGACCCAACTGAACCACATCATGCCAAGAGTGTTCATATATTAAACTGGAATGAAGACAGCATTAAATGGAAAATGGAACGGATGTCACTGTTTTCTGTAACAATTTATTTTCGTCATCAGTGGCAGTGGAACCAACATATTTGGATTCTTAACACCTTGTTCTCTGATATACTGTACAAGGAAGTTAAAATGGCACTTGAAGTCAGAAGATTAAATCAGAAATATGATCTTTGAACACCAAGCAAATTTATGTTGGAGGTGACAATCTTGAAGGACTGAGGAATCATAAGATATCTCAGGGTGGGAAGGATATCAAAAGAATGGGAAAATCATGGACAATAGTATCCAGAACTTGAATTTGAGAAACAGAATGGGCTGGTTATACTTTGGATATTTTTCAGTGCTTTCAACACTTCCCAAGAAGTTCCCTGGAACAAAGACCCATCTGTTTGACACAGATGTTCTCCTAGTGATGATATGTGATTGTGAATCTTAGAAGACCAGAAGTTTCAGGAAACATGGAGAGTCATGTTGAGCAGATGTAGACTATAATATATTTCCAGTGATTCTGTAAGTTTTAGAAGTGGCATAATAAGGTCATTGAGGAGATGTGTGATAAGGACAAGAATTACAAGACTGAGGAAGTACTTGAGTGCTGAAATATAAGAGACCTGGGAGAAGGCCTTCTGCAAACTAGCAGATCATCTATGGAGGATGGATTATGAATGAGAATCACCCGTAATTCTGTGGAAGATGTTTAGATGGATTTTTGTCTGGATTGATGGAGGGAATACCCACATAGATGTGATCATTGATTTGTTGTGCTGAAATGAAGTAAAGACATTGATTTCTAACCAAACATGATACATTAAAGAATGAGTACTATGAGAAGGGTAAGAGTAATTTTTCCGAGTTGTTCATGAAAATGTATTCTGTTTTTATATATTCCTAAGCTATTTTCTATAGAGATGAAATCTAAATCCAGATGCTTTTTTGTTTTGGTACTATTCTTTTAAGCTCTATTGAATGTGCTCTTAAGTTTGAAGAGCAAAGAAAATTTTTTGAAGAGAAGTTTGTCAGAATTATGTTTGTATTAAAAACTAAAAAGGGCTTTTTTTTTTAAAGGAAAAAGCAACAGTGTATTCCTGATGTGATTATTTTAAGGGTCGTGTAAATATTTCAGAGAGATGATTTTGTTGTGTGATATACTTAAAGTTTTAGATGATCACAAAATTTAAATTTAGCTTATAAATGGTTATTGGCATATTAACAGAGAAAGAGGGGAACCTTTGGAAATGGGAATATAGGAATTTGAATTTACTTTTGAAAAACTCAAATCAGGGCTTTCCTTTTTAGCTAAACTTTCAAAAAGGACTTTTTGAAACAAAGCATGATGGGAAATTTTTACTTCTAAAGCAATGGATTTTGTATTTGTTTTGTTTTTTTAGGAGGTATACTTGAAAGATGGAAGAACTGAAAGACTAAAGTTGGAACTTGAAAGGAAAGATGCTGAAATTCAGAAGTTGAAAAATAGCATCACTCAGTGGGAGGTCTGTGTTTAGTTACTATTGCAAGGTGAAATGTATTGTCTATTTTTGTTATACTAAATTTTTCCTAGTTATAAGTAATTATAAGAGTTGTTGATTGGTAGCGATGTCCTTCTTAGCTCCAACATTATATGAGTTTTAAAAACTGTGATCAGTGATATAATAATCTGAATGGTAATCATACTTATGCTTACTACAAACCTGTTATCTCCTGGATCTAATATAAAATCTTCTTTAGCTTTTAAAGCCCTGTACAAGTGGCCCTTCTTGCTTTTCCAGTCTAATTGCACCTTACTTTTTTCTACCAACTCTGTGGTTCAGCTACACTGGCCAACTGGCTGTTCTTCAACATAACACTCCATCTCTTGACTTCATGGTTTTCACTGACGGACCCTCAGGGGTAAAATTTCCTTTCTCCACACCCATGATAACTTAGCTTCCCTGTCTTCCTTCAAGACAACTTCAAACCTTGCCTTCTGCAGGAGCCCTTCCCCAACTCTCTCTACCACTATTAGTACCTTCCTTCTGAGATTACCTACTATATTACTCTCAATAAATCTTATATGTATGTAGTTATTTGTATGTTGTCTCCCCCATTAGAATGAACTCCTTACGGGTAAGTGCTGTACTTTTACCTTTCCTTTTATTCCCAGTGGCTAGCATATGTAAGTGCTTAATAAATGTTTATTGACTAACTTATTGACTGTCTTCCACCCCACACATAGATTTTTTTCCTACCCCTAAGGCAAGGGTTCTTAACCTTTATTTTTTCGTGGATCCCTTTGGCAGTCTAGTGAAACCTGTGGACTCTCTCTGCATAAAATTTTTTTGGCTTTGTTTTTTGGCAAGGCAATTGGGGTTAAGTGACTTGCCCGGGGTCACACAGCTAGTAAGTGTTATGTTGTCTGGTCTGAGACTGGATTTGAGCTCAGGTCTTCCTGACTGTAGGGCCAGTGCTCTGTCTACCTGTGACACTGCCTGCCCTTCTGAATAAAATTTTTAAACTGCATAAAACAAAATATATAGAATTTTAAAGGAAACCAATTATATTGAAATAAAGATGTATTTTTCCCCCCATTGAAGTCCATAGACCCCATGAAATCTATCTGTAGACCCCTTGGGGAACTTTGGACTCCAAGTTAAGAACCCCTGCACTATGGAGTTCCAAATGATGACTTAATTCTTTGTTTAAACTAAAATGTCCTACTGTTAATAGCACGTCAATATGTCCATCCCCATGTTCAAATCTGTTTTAAGATTAATTTCTTTGGTGAAACTTTTCGTGATCTTATACCATCTTTCTCATTTAGCCCTTGCATTTGCTTGATCATATATAAATTGTGTACTTTATACAGTATTACAACTGTAGTGTATTGTATGTGCCTCTTGATCTCTTAATTTTTGTATTTGTGTTGCATACCTCCTTAATTAAAAGCAAAGCTTGAAGTTCAGATTTTGAGCTGGTACGGACATTTAAGCCCATTTCATCCAGATGGTCTGGTGAAGCCAATGAACTTCTCAGAACAGTGTTTTAGGTGCATAAAATAAAATATATAGGATTACAAAGGAAACCATTTTTGTAGAAATATCTACCATGGTGCCAAGTTTTTTTACCATGCTTTTATATCTGTTATTCAGTAGATATTATTAACTATTTAATTGATCATAGAGAGAATTTGAATTTTCATTTTATATGTTAATCAAATAACCTGTGTGCTTTTCTATATGTGTTAAGAGGAAAAAATAAATTTCTTATACAGGTGTCTTTAGACGTTTAAAAACATGCATTTTCCTAAATTTCTTAGTAATCTCTAGCTTTACCAGTAGAACCTGTAATAAGACTTCAACTTGAGTTTCTCATTTAGACAATATGTGAGAGTCCCTAGACATTTAAAAAGGGAGTCTCAGGCCTATTTCTGTAAATTGCTATTGCATGTCAGTCACACAGGTTTCAACTCGTGAACTAATTCAGGCATTGAAATAAGTAGATAATTAGTGTGGTCTGTGTTATCTGAAATAATATTGAAAATGAATTACTTTCTTGTCCGGCTTTCTTTTTGAGAATGAAGAATGAAAATCTCTTCAGGAAAATTTTCTATTATGTTAACTTCTTTCCTTTGCCCTCATCCCTTCACCCTTCATTTTGAATCGTTTGTAATATTTAATATCTACATTTTTATACAGATATTATATAATAACTCTAAATCAGGGCCTTATGGCTAAGGTGGAAATATGCTTAATATGATTGTACATGTAAAGCCTGTATCAGATTGCATGTTGTCTTGGGGAAGGGAAAGAGGGAGAAAAAAATTTGAAACTCAGAATCTTACAAAAGTGAATGTTGAAGGGGCAGCTAGGTGGCGTAGTGGATAGAGCTCTGGCCTTGGAGTCAAAAGGACCTGAATTCAAATCCAGCCTCAGACACTTGACACTTGCTAGCTGTGTGACCCTGGGCAAATCGCTTAACCCTGATTGCCTCACCAAAAAAAGAAAGAAACCCTGAATTTTGAAAACTATCTTTACATGTAATTGGAAAAAATAAAATACTGTTCAGTGAAAAAAAAAAAAGCTAATGAAATCATAGATCCAGTGCCTATTCAAAGGCAATAAATAAATAAATAAATCGAGGCCTTAGTTGAGGACAATATGCAATGTCCTGTACAAATAATTTTCATACGCTTAATTTCTTCAACTGATTTATGTCCATGTAGGAAGCCTAGAATTTTTAGTTCACTAGTTGCTGTAGTTTGATTCATGTATTGTACTATTTACTTTTAAAACTAAACAGTCTTGTTCTCTTTGACAATTAGGCAAAATATAAAGAAGTAAAAGCAAGAAATGCTCAGTTATTGAAAATGTTACAAGAAGGTGAAAGTAAGTAATTTGTATCTTTATATGTTTTCTAGATTTACAACAATCATATTTGGGATATTTCATATTTTTAAAATATAATTTATAAATTTAACAATATTGACCCACAGAGAGATTCCCAATCATCATACTTAATCATCCCTGATCATTCAGCTATTACTAGTCATGCTTGAAAGACTTCACTACCTTACAAGATAATACACACTAAATAGGATTTTTGAATTTCACTTCCTTAGAAATTATTGAACCATTATCTATAGAGAGATTCTTAAGCAAATATACTTTCTGAAGACACTGCTTCTTTTAGTTCTGAGAGAAGAGAAGCAATTGAGGGGGTGGGCAACCAGGATTAAGTGACTTCTGAGTCACACAGCTAGTAAGTATCTGAGGCTAGATTTGAACCCAGGTCTTCCTGACTCCAGGGCTGGTGTTCTATCCAGCTTCACCACCTTCTAGAGAAGCAGTTCCTTGACCAGTGATGAACATAATGTTTCCACACCAACAGTAAGCTCCCATGTTTGTGGAGGATAGGCAACCATGAACCTTTTAACAACAATGTAATTTGAGAGTGGATTGTTTATTCTTGTGTGTATGTATGTATGTATGTATGTATGTATGTATGTATGTATGAAAGAGTTTTCCTTAGGAAAATAATTTATCAATAAATTCTTGTTTTTCAATCTGTCCTTGAATTTTTTGACTGTGCTGATTGGCCACGGTGCAGGTGGCTAAGCTCGTGGATAGTATTTTTGAACCCAGGATTAGTCTTTTGGGCAGCTTCATCTTGACAGACATTCAGAAACCTTAAGATTTGAGAGACAGATGTACCCTGACTCCTGTGCTGTGTACTTGACAGTTTTAAGAACTCTTGTGTTTTTTTTTCCTTTTCGTCAGTGAAAGATAAAGCAGAAATACTTCTTCAAGTTGATGAATCACAAAGTATCAAAAATGAGCTAACCTTACAGGTAAGGAAATTTGTGATATTTATTTGAAGTTTGGCCATAGGACAAATAAGACCTTGCTGTAGGCACTGACATGAGTCAGGCAAGGGATAGCAAACATCACGTTAGCCTTGCAGTCTTCTGACCACACTTTTGAGGTTCTTCCCTGGGTCCATTCCCACAGAGTCTTACCATGAGGGTATTCCTTTTGCAGGATTCACATTTTGCTTCAGCTCCCGTGGGGTTTTAGTCTCTCCATGCCTGTACAGCTACTGCCGACATTATGTTGAGTTAATGGTCCTCTTTCCAGCTGGCTACAAGGGCTTGAGTGCCTCTCTCTCTCGGCACATCACACATCCATACCTGCGGTCAGACTTCCTTCTGTGCCACTGTTGGCTACTCCACCCCTGAAAACTGTTTTTTACCCTAGAGAAAATATTCTAAGCTGTAGCTCTGTTAAAATATAAAATGTACGTGACTGATATGAAAATGTGTTTAACAGTCATATGTTTTAATGTCAAATTTCTTTCCTTCTCAAGGAAGGGGTGGGAAGGAGGGAGAGAATTTGGAACTCGAAATTTTTAAAACTGTTTACATGCAATTGGGAAATAATGAAATAAATAAAAATGTTAACATAAAATAGAATGTGCTGCACCTCAGTTTTTTGTGTTTTGTTTTTTGTAGAATGAGGGGTTGGACTAGATGGCCTCTGAGGTCCCTTTCCAACCTTAGATCTAGATCCGTCCTTTGAATTATGGAGTCCATTCACTGTCTTCTAAAAAACGAGTCGTTACAAGTTGTTTTTCTTCTGTTGAACTTGCTGTGACCTGTGTGTTTTTATTTAGAAATCGTTCTTAGGGGCAGCTAGGGGGAGCAGTGAATAGAGCTCCAGCCTTGGAGTCAGGACCTGAGTTGAAATGCAGCCTCAGACCCTTGATACTTACTAGCTGTGTGACCTGGGCAAGTCACTTAACCCCACTTGCCTCATCAAAAAGAAAAAGAAAAGAAACAAAAGTCATTCCTGTCAGTCGCTGTTAACATTCCTTACAAAGGTCATTTTTTGAAAAGGAGGACTTTTTTTCTCATTGATTATTTACATTGCAGGTGACATCACTTCATGCTGCATTAGAGCAAGAAAGATCAAAAGTGAAGGCATTACAAGCAGAGTTAACAAAATATCAGGTAAGCCTGTTATGATTCTGTGAATGATTTTATAAGGATCCCAGACTGAGAGGTGGAAAGGACCTTAGACACCATCAGTTCCAATCCCCTCATTTTACAGATGAGGAAACTGAGACATAGAGGTTGGATTGCATAACAAATTTTAAGTAAGAGATCTGTGAGAAACAAATTTTATGTGAAGGTTAAATTTTATTCATCTTACCAAATATATTGCAGAATTGAATACTGCTATTGTTATAAATACAAGTAGAAATAACTGAGGGAACTCAGTA